CGATGAGCAAATTATAGACTCCGTAACCTCATCTACAGCTTTAAGCGATAATGAGAAAGATGACGATTTAGGTGAAACGTATTCTACTGTAGACAATAATGCTGTTCCAACCATTTCTGAAATTACAAAAAAAGTGTCGGAAACTCGGAATTTTCTACAATCACGCCAAGTTCCTAATCATATCTGGGAGCCCTTTTGTGATCTTGAAAACTACATAAATAACATCTATTTTTGCAGCAGAAATGTACAAACAAAAATTACAGACTTTATGAAGTAGATTTCAAATTGAATTTTGTTTATCTTTTTGTGTTCTTTTTAGTCATACCTACTAACTTCTACTACTCTATGTAAAAATAACGAAATAAAATACACCACGTATTTTTGTATTATTATTCGCTTATAGCGAACTCCGGATATAACGAACCAGTTTTAGTTCATTTTTCAAGTTTGTTATATCCGAACTCAACTGTACATATATTGCGATTAAAAACTGCAAAGAAGTAATGATTTTATTAACGCGCAAATGCAAAATACACGAATTAGTTTTAATGTGTCCCCCTAACTTGATCTTTAGAAGTATTTCCCATGAGATCACCATTTTAATAAAGCGATCTTGCCTCAAGTGGAATATCTAAATTAGTCTTCTAACGTCCAGATCTGTGAGAACTTTGTTGGGGAATTATTTACACTATGTATTAGCCTTTAGAAAAGACTAAGCAAAAAGTCACCAACAAAACAATTGAAATGAAACAAAGGATATTTTTGTTAAATAAACAGTTTAAAAAAACAGTAGTTGCTAAAAACAGTACAGTCCTCTTATTTGTCCTACACCCTACCCTGTATATGCCGTGTAGTCTTTATGAGAAAGTTGTACTAATTGTATTAGGTACCATCTAAGTTTTATTTTTAGCAACACTAAACCTGCTGGTTTTCTTTATATAGCTTTACCAGGAACTCTTAAGCAGCATCCAGCCAGGTCAAAACATCTTAGAAATGTTTCCCAGTAGTATTTTTTTCCGAAATATGTTCTTTTGTTCCGGTGGCTAAAATGATCCATTCAAACAGCTCAAACTTTGCAAAAACTTTTTACTGCAAGGCGGAGTTCTTAATTATTCGTTTTCTAAAGCAGAAGTTATTAACCGAGAATACTAATTTTCTTTTAAATTAGCCTCTGTGTGATTATGAATATTTAAATTTTAGCTAATTTATTTGAAATATAAAATGAATAACCGTTTTATTTACCCATCCGCATGTTTAAATTATACGCTTAAATTGGATCTAACAATTTATTATTTGAAAATAGACATTACTTCCAAAATTAATTTCAACAAGCCTAGTGAGAGTTTTCAGTTAAAATAGATAAAAAGCAATAAATCCGCAGTAGGTTGAAGCTATTTAAATCTCAGTCAACCTAAATGTATTAAACTTTTAATTAAGGGATAATATTTCAGACAGTATTAGCTACGTAATTACAGGAATTTTATATACCATATAAAACTTTTACTGCTTCGTCAAACAAGAACTGAATTTAAAGCCGTTCAAAAAAATGTCATGCAAAGTTTTTTATCCACATTTGAAACTTTCTTCTCATAGTTAATAATTGTATTAAACTTAAATGGCGAACAGATAAGAACTTTCTTTCAAGAGGATGAGAACTAACGCTTACAGCAATTAGTTTCAGGCGCTTTTTACGAAAACGGTTTGGTAGTTAATCAGTTGCGAAAGGCGATAATTGGATTTTTTTCATTAGTTTTAAACAGAATAATATTATATGATTTTTCGACGAATTCATTAAACTAAACTATAAAACTAAAACATAAAGCAAAAACAAACAAAGAATACATCGTTAAATCCGACAAGGCAATGGCATATGCAAAATTTCCATAGCTATTTACCCTTAAAAATACACCTTACGTTTGTGCTACTTTGCTCTATTTGAGCCTAATATACATAAAAGCACTTTACCTTTCGCACTTGCTGGTTCCAAGAGGGTCTCGCAGGTATTTCCCGTAAAAAGTTTGGAGCAGTGACACTTAACGGCCGCTACTCCGACGTGCCTGAAAATTTAATATTTCTTTTCAGTTCTTTTCTTGGCTGCAAAAGGTTTAGATTTTGTTAAACTGTTACTTAGTATTCAATTGCCTTTTGCTTAGGCCCTATATTCTTTAATCAACTGACAAGACAGCCACTGCTACTGCGACTTAAATCGGTTTGTTCTGAGAATAAGCGGGATTAATGGGGTGCTCGAGAAGAGAAACAAAAAGCCTGATTATGAAAACGCTTCGGGACTTGGTAAACCAAAGCAGCATTGTTGGGTCTGTTGGTCAGATACATCAAAAGAAATGGTTTGCCTGAATTCCGTTTGAAAACATTACCGTCTGAGCGATTGCAAGTTTCGCAACTGTGATTTTTAAAAAGTATGAGAAAGTGTTAATTTATAGTTAAACGAAACACTACTTACAAACACGTTCCGCCATTTTTGCATGTAGGAGTTCCATTAGTGTAACAAAACGATTTCGGTCCTTCGGAGCAGCTGGGACCAGAATAGCCATCGAAACACTTGCAACTAAATTTTCTAGAACACAACATAGAATTGCTTGGTTAGATGCATGTAGATCCCTCCGACTTTTAAATATATAGTTTTAAACCGTACCCAATCAATTTGTTTAACAATTTTACCCTACAGCACAAGGCGCCATGGAAAAAGCCATGCCGATTTGAAGCGAACTATTAACATTTTATGGAAAACCGTGTTCGAAAGTTTTCGAAGTAAAAGTCGAGGCCGGCCGTTTAATAAATGCCCCAATCACTCTTCTTCGAATTATTGATTAAAATCATCAAGTAGCAGTTTGCTATAAAAACTTTACTTAGAAATAGCGTGTTTCATATGTTGCGTTTTTTCAGCTTTTCAAAATGTATAATCGTAAACAAATTCTCCGCAGCTTCTTAAACTGAAATTTTTATTTTTAAATACAAATGACACTATTTGTGCCTCCAAAGCGTCGATGAGTTTTTTAAAGTATTTCTTCCTCTATGATTTTTCTCGACAACATTCTAAACACCTTCCATATTTTATAAGACTCTTACAAAGTAAATATTAAATCAAGTAAAATTCACATTGAAACTTAGTCGCTATTTAACTGTGTACTTTCAGAGTAAAGCTAACGGAGTCACAGTTGATTTAACAAATTTTAATTTACATTTGTTACACATTATACATGGTTGCAGTGATTTAAATCGCAATTTCTTTTGTCATGTGAATTATCTTTTCTACCTCACGTTATCGATAGCACATAGTCCTCTTGTATGAAATACTGTCGACCAGATAAACTCTGATAAATTTTTTTAAATGCAGTTGATTAAAATTACTCACTTAATATAAATATTAAGAGTAGGTAGCACAAAACTCTCCGCGAGGAAATTTCTGCTGGTCGCTACCGGTGTGTTGTATTTCAATCTTTGCAAGTTCCCTTTTTTACCTTTTTTTCCACCGATTTTTTCAGCTTACAATTATAAGGCATTTCCAGTACATTGTATTGATTTTCTTGGTCGACGTTACTGACAGCGTTTTGGAACGCTTGATGACGAAACAACCAATTTTGAGCCAACGCTGTACGAATTTTTCTATCTTAAATTAATTTTAAACTTCTTTCAATTCATTTCAGATGACTTTGCGTAAACAATATCAATAATTAACCACTTTTTTCTAAAAGTTTGCAGTATTCGTGAGACAAAGATTTTTTTAATGGATTTTTGGCGAGTTTGCCGACGCGCAAAGATAAAAGACTCCAAGGATTTAATTGCTTCAAGCTGATAGTTGAGGCGTCACCACAGCAGAGAAATTACATATATATTTCTATTTTAAAGAGTTAATGTATATCGAATACCGCTATCAGCCAATATTTTAAGTTTACCACTAAAAAAGTCTTATAGATAGATACTCTGTAATTGAAGATTAACTTTTATTTTATATAATGCAACTGTTATAAATATTTTATTAATATTCTCGTCTAGGTCAACGTTTTATTGAAAGCGTTGAGCTTTCAATAAAACTAATTATAAAAACAGGAAATTATTATTTGCATTTAAAAGGCTCAGTTGTTGATACATCAGTTGAAAATTATATTAGCTCCATTTTGATTTATTAATTTATTAAATTAAAGGGTAATGAAAATTAAAAGTATACTGAAGTACTCAATATGCTGACATTTAAGGCTAAAAATATCTCTTTTTTTTGGAATTTCTAAAAACTTGCATATTGTGGCTACAGTTCAAAACAGGGAGTTAATTGACGAACAACGTTTAACTGTTTTGTATTTAGAGGGCCATGCAAAGCAGATGAAATAAATTATATTTATAACATTGTAACACGCTTGTTAGCTTGCCGTTTATCTTGATGAGTGTTTGGCGGCTACACGTGTTTCCTCAAATCCGCATAATTACGGAATAGAGCTCTTAACAATTTTGCTTCATTGTTTCAGCTCTTTCGCTTTTAATTAGTGATAGTAGCATTTCTAAAGCTTTGGCTATCGATTTTATATGTCAGCTGCATAGAATTTGCGATATGTTTTTGCAATTGTTTGTGGTCGTATTATATCTAAAGCTCTTATCAGGCTCTATTCGCTGTTACTCGCGTAAATCTGGATCAAATGCTGGAAAGGGTGATATTTTCACAGTAGATGAAAACATCAGATTATTGCCATAATGTTAAATGTTGAATGGCACTTTTAAATATTCCCAGATACGAAAAAAACAATGCAGATATCCATATTTGCATATTAAAACAATGTTATTGGGAACTTGTTTTTATCTGACTGTGTTAAATAAATGTATACCTATTGCATTTTATATGAATCTATATATTACTATAACAAGGGTTTGTAAAGCTTTTTATTCAGACGTGTGTGCGCTATACTTTAAATGTAACATACATTTAATTTAAATTTAAAAATTGCATTTAATACGGGTAATTCGTAAATATTGCATGCAATTTAAAGAGTCAATTCCTCGCATAAAACTATGAAAAATGCTTCTTCACCCTTACATTGAGTGAAAAAGTCGTTATTATATATACATAAATTCTACTTTTTTAATGCCAAACATATTGATACAAGGTGGTCAAAAATTAAGTTACGACCGTCATCTTTATTTTGTCAAATGGAAGCATCGATTTTTTAATTAAATTGGGTAATAATTAAGTTTCCATTGAATTATAAGTATGATGCTGTACCATGTCCTATACCTCATTTTATTTAAACATTTCACAAGACTCGATAAATTTACGAGTTAAAAAAATATTTACCAAAACAAAAAGATACAAGAAAAATTTATTGATCGCCTCGGATTTTCAAGCCGTCAATGGCATGCCTTTTGAACATCCAATTTGATTGTTATTCTGTTTCTTGGAATAAATCGATCCTTCTCACGACCCAGATATTTGCAAGAAACCGAAAAAATTTTGGGTAACTGATGAGTTTGAGAATGCAAAATTGAAACAAAAGCAGATGCTTCCATTTGGAAATAAATAAGTAAAAGGTCTAAACTTATTTTTGGACTATCTTTTATAAATTAATTTTGTATAAGAAAATCGCATTTACAAATAAAAGTTGACATTTTCATTTGTAGAACAGAAATAGATTGTTAAATTAATTACTACAAAGTGTAATTCTCTAGTGTTTGAGCAAAATAAAAATAATATTTAAGTAATTTATACTTTTTGAGTACTTATATCAATTAAAATTCGTGTTATTTTTGTCTTACTCTGTACTTTTAAAGGGAAATGCTTTCATAGAAGATGTTACATGCTTTATGGAAAAACAAGATCCTTGCACTCACTACAATTTAATAGTTTGCATAATTTTATATATACAGGGTGATTCAAAATTGGCGTCATTTCTTTTAAGGGGTAATAGGGGCTCACTTGGAAGGTACGGGAAAAATATTGAAATGTTTTTCAGTCAAGTTTTAAATTTGCTTCGTAATTTGGTTTGTCAAGCGAATTGAAAACAGCTGTCAATCTAGTGCTCTTATAAAGGGAACAAACCCTTACCGGGAATAAAAAAAGGACTATTACATTTGAAGTCCAAGGATCGGAGATGCTGCATAGTAAAATAGCATGCTTTGTGGATATGTAATAAGAATATATGCGGTCAGTTAACCAGCTAATACACTTTTACTAATGCCAGATACAGCAAACCATATAATAAATCTCGTTGAAATTTACGGTTTACCGCATCCAGATCCCGGAACGGCATATTTACTTACGTGTAATGATCGAAGCAAATTCCGGTAAATCCGCAATCCATCATGGTGCAGGACGGGCTCCGAACGCCGCCAGTGGTAATTTCATAGGTGATGTTGAATCCATACGTATCCAGGAATTTATCCAGGACGCGAATATGTGCTGACTCAGACGATTGCATTTTTAATTCTATTACCAAGTAGCTCTGATAGCTCTGCACCCATCGGATACGGAACACGTTAGTCTCATTTACTTTGTGGATTAATTTCGGGTTGATCTTGTAATCGTTTCCGTATAGCTGATATTCAGTGAATGTTAGACCTGCAAAAGAAGAAACTTTAAGTTTACTCGTATAATCACGTTTGGAAATATTGCTATTGATGCGGTCGTGAGAACGCCAACTTTATCAGAAATCTGGAAAATGTAAGCGGCAAAAAGAAATTGCATCAGAAATCAGTGTTGCTGATTGGCATTAAAAAACGACTTTCAGTTACTTCGAAACTCTGCGGCAAATTGAATTTTGCAGGAAATCTAAAGCAGCAGCATTGGTGGGACTACGAGAAATTACTATTTTGAAACGAAAACACACTTTAACTGACCTATCGAAGAAAAATAAATCGATGCAGACCCTCCAGCTAAAATAGTTACATTTGCTATGCTTTTTACAACGTTTCCCGTTCAACGATTTTTATCTAGGTAATGTACGTGCTACGAAATCTTGCAAGGAAAAACAATGTAAAATGAAAAATCTAACCTTCGAAAGTAAATAGCTGAGTAAAGTAAACGATGATCGAAGTATTTCCGGAACCGTAAGCAGCACTGCTAGAATCGATTACCCATTGGCATCGTATTGGAACGTCAAATGGTCCTGAAACACAATAACATTTAAAGTCAGATGTATGCGACCTTTTTTAACTCTCAAAGATATATATCAGAAATAGAACAATCAGAATATTTTCCTATGTCGTGAATGCAGAAAAATCAGGTTCAATATCTTCGTTTTATCAGGAACCTGTCAGCTGTTTTCTTTTACTCTGTGGGAGTAGCCAAAAGGACTTACGCTTTTTTATTTTAAAAACACAAATTGACAAATCGCTTTATTATAACTTAAATAATTTTTATATTAATCACACTTTGAACCATTTTAGAGTAGTGATATTTATTCAAGCTTCGAACACCTCTTTATCTCAGTGTGCGCTGGTCGTATTATTAGCTTTGCAAGCAAATGTATCTTCAGGTTCGCAAATAACTGAGCTTTTATTTATAGCCATTGTCCGAGCATGTTTCATTTAAAGTCAATATTGCAACATGTTAGAAGTGAAATCATCTCAAGTCTTGGAATCACTTAGTCAAATACCAAAGGACACTATTAAATGCGAGAGTTAGAAGAAATATGTTTATCATAAAGGAAACTTCATCTCAAGTTAACGAGTATTGATGTGAGTGATTCGAAAGAAAATATAAACTGGGTAGTAAGGAAGATAGGTTTGGAAGCCTTTTGTGTCCGAGAACACAAATGAGTAACAACTAAAATATATTCAATTTGCGGCAAATATTAAATTTGTTTGCCATTTTTTGACAATCACTTCGACAATAAAAATTGTAGAATTATAGGGTATATTTAGATTAAATTCTATGTTAAATTTAAGAGAACGAAATCAATAACGGTCTTTGTTTTGAAAAATCTATTTATATTCCGTCGGTAATAAACGTTGTAGTAAATTTGAAAGCCTTGAAATCGTTTCTTTCTTCATCAGCATACACCGATTCAGGCCTAAATTTGCGATTGGGAAATACATAGATTTAATGTCAACAGATCAAAGTTCAGTACTCATAAGCGGTGGAGGCTTTCTATTTACAAAAATTCCAATTTCGAACATAAGGACAAATTCCAGACAGTAACATTCAAATTCCTATTTCCAATTCAAAAATTCTTTCAATTCCCAACAATGCAAGCAACAATATGTTAGTAAGACCTCCATTTTGTGCGGATTGAGAAACACGGAAACCGCAAAGAATCAAAATTTTTCTTTGAAAAATAAAAAGTGTCGGCACTTTTGTCCGCTCTCGATAAGTTCAGACAATGAAACTGCTTGCTATGTTTGGTCGTGGCTGTGAATTTCTTATATTCAATAATACTGCAAGTTGCTACTGTTATCGTGGTATAAATGGCTAAAATTGCAGTTTAAGAAAGTTAAATGCATCTAGCGTTATGTGAATTCAACAGCAAAATTGCAGCTACTGCAGTCATTAAAAGTGGAAAAAATATAGATCAGTAATACGTTTATTTGTGTGGAGCATCCTTAACGAAATTGATTTTGCCCAAAAACGTTCAATTGGCTCACTATTGCAAACCTAAAAATTTCTACCATCTGAGAATGATGATCAAAAATGAAGACTTATTAATTTCCTCAATTATTTAATCATGACGGAGTTTGAGCAGGCACTGTAGCGAAGGGTTCAATATTTCTTTACTCTACTTTTACCCTTACTTTGCAAGGTATTAAAAATTCAATGCAATTTATAATTTTTGTGAAAAATACACGCATCTTTAACACATTTTTAATATGTCTCTGACATCTATCCAAAATGCAGAATCTGATATTAGTCGGGCAGAGCCACAATATTAATAAAAAACGATTAAATAATAATCTTGCGGTTCTACTGGCCGAATTTATTTACGTCATTTGCGCTTTAATTTTTTATAATTTAATACATTGTGAAACCCAAGCAATTAGTTTTATTGGCATCTTAATAATAATAATGCTTTAGATAGATTACATAATTACTATTTAATGAAAGTTTTTGTTTGAAAATGCTGACGTGCTGCAGCGCTTATGCATCAGCTGCCAATGCCCTATTATTACCTACTAGTGAGTGTAATCTAGAAATGTAATGTTGAACTTGATGCGTTCTATATTTTGTATCCCAATAAAGAATCCACCAAAAATTCAAAATTTTTGTAGCGTCGAAAATAAAATTCTTGCTTAATCTGCATTAACGCCATCCTACTACATTTATCTTTTAGCTAGAGTTGGCACAATTGACTAAGAATGAGTTTCCATCTATGATCGAAACGGTTCGGTACAATCCATGAAACGAAGATTGCTATTTCCACAACGTTCGTTTTAAAAATTTTAATTGCCGTTTTAAAAAGATCAGTTGAAAAATTCGCTTCCCACATCACTCTGATAACCAACATCCTGAGAATAAATGCCACTAAAATGTTTTTCCTTAAAATCTATATAGGTGATTAAAGTAACTGTTATTTCGGGATTCGGGAAGAACTAACGACAAGGACTAGAACAAAACTTTGTTTTTTATTCAAGGAAATGGAGTGAATTGAAAGACTCCCTTGCTATGGGTTAACTTTCTTTTTTTCACATTATGTCAACTTAACTATGAAAAATTGGCACATCAGATATAACCAAGCGCAGTGCATAAATATATAAATACAACTTTAACTTATTTATATTCTAATTTAAACTACAAAACATGAAATTTGTCTGAATTATAATATACAAAATCCGGATGTTTTATTCCAGAGCTTTCAACTTTACATGAGATAACTAAAGCACAGCCCACAGAGTTACAAATTTTATTCTTCAAAATTATGGAGGATTGCTGTTACGCTGTGCCATATAAGATTTAGCACATCAGTCATGAGTCTGACGACGATGTCTTATTTCTTTCATTCATAACCTGGAGTAAAAAATATAAAGTTCTCCCTCAAATGACATTGATTTAAAGGAGATTTGGCTCTGGGAAACTTTGTCGCTTTTTAGACGGTTCGTTTATATGCGAAACAGTTTCAGTTACCGGCTAACTTTCAAGGCGGCGTTCAAAACGTTACTCGGTTGACAATTTATTAATCTACGTTGCTAAATTTGCATAAATTTTCCATTAATTTTATTTTCCATCTATGAATGAAAAGTGAATTTCCGTATCGAATTAAAATGAAACATCAGGCTATTAAAGATAATTGTATGGAAATAAGGATTGTTGAAACCATTTATACGTTGAAAAGTTTATAACCGATGTGCCTTTATATATTTCGTATATATCAGGTCTGCTAAGAGGAAAACGAATCTGGCGTTGTTTCTGCAAGAACACAACCAAAGTTGCCATATTAAAAGCTCAGTTTTCAACCATAATTCAGTGGAATAATGAAAATAAATTATGTAGGGTTCTAAGTGATACTTTAAGAAACTATTCGAGCAATTTTAGTTTGATGACATGCACGCAGAATGCTCTATAGACTAAGTTGGTAATGAAACAATTAAGACCCACAGACATGCACTAATTGCTTTGAAGATTGAGGTAGTTGCTAAGTAATGTAATATATTTGCAAAGTTGATTCAATTGAATCGGTTTCCTGGTTTTGGCCATTTACGTGTTTTGTAATGGCCATGTAAATTGTTAGAGGTGAACGATACGAAGATAAATCGATTGCCTACTTACCTTATAATATAAGATTGTTTGTCTTCGTTAATATACATTTATGCAATAAAATTAGTATGAATTAGATATTAAGACTTGTTATGAATTTTCATTGACTTCATGAGTTTAATTTAGTAATTATTATTTTTTATGCAAAATTAGTTATGTACACAAAATTTAAATATGATTTTTTGTTTTTTGCCATTTTGGTACTTTTTAAAATTATGTTTTTTTACTTAATTATTAATTATTAATTATGTCTGAAACATAATAATTACAAGACAATAGTACCTGGAAAGTTGGGAGTAGCAAGGATGCCTCGTGCTGCTGTATAAGTGCCTCCACATGTTCGTCGTCCTGCCTCGTTTGAGGAAATGTGCATTAACAATGTCAGAATCGGGATAAAATTGTTAATCCGACACATCCTGAACTCAGCTTATACTTTACATGCTTGCATTCTGGATCTGAAACAATAATTAAATGCTATTACGTTTCGTATTATCAGATTAAAACTGTACAGTCTTGCTGGAGATGTGAATAAGCGAAGAGGCAGACTGCCTAGTCGATTTTGAGGCAAAGCAAAAGTTTGGCATAAGCAGTTAATTTTAACAAAAGGGTCTGCTTTTTAAAGATCATTCAAATCACATTAAACAATATTTGAAAATCATTGACCTGGTTTGGAATGTTCATAAATGTATGGTAGAATAAAAATTAACGGTATTCTTTCAAATGCACAACTAAAAACCCTTAACACGTAGGAATAGCTGGGCTGTAAAAACCCAATTTGTCTTTATCTGAAATTCGGGCAATTCATGGGCAGTCAGTGGTGTCTTAATGGATTATGCACTTGCAATTTCCAAATAGCCTCTTAAGAAAAGCAGAAACTTTCATTTATACATGCCCTGAATGGTACTCTGCATGTTGATGGCAGAGCAGGTCTATTTACCAGCATCTAACAATAGATGATGGTCAATCGATAACGATAGTTCTGAAAAGACAAAGGTTCTTGCAAAAACAATTCAAAGTAGGATGTAACAAGATAATTTAAGCTAATTTGGTTCAAAGCGAAATCGATTCTAAATACAAATAACTTTTGAATCTGACAGTCATAAGAATTATAATTTTTGAAATATTATCACATTTTGCAGTGCAATCCGTATCAATATTTTATTGTGTCAGTGTATGCCTATTATTGCATGCAAATATATTCAGGGCATTCGGAAACATAACTGCAACAAATTATGTTGTTGAGGACAGTATTAAAATAAATCGATGTGTAACATAACAGTTTTTGAAGTTGAAATTTGAGAAACATTAACTTTCCTGAGTATTATTAATTGATGCCGGTATCCGGGAGTTGGATGGTCGATAACTGTCTGAATAGAGGGAGCGCAACTTAAAACAGCGCATATATTTATTGTCGATTGTATTTAAATTCGGTTAAAACTCTTTCTGAATTACCAAAATTTCTCAGTAAGAACTAACTCAGTTAAAAAAAAAACATATTAAAATTGTTCTTTTAGTTTAGCTTTAATCGTCAATATTATATAAACTTGACCAAAAAATTACTTACTTACAAGAAATGACCAGGCATAAGAAGGTTTGCATTACCACATAACACTGAAAAATAATGTTCTAAACGACCTTTTTATGTCTAACACATAAATTGAAWTTTCTACCAAAATCGTTTCAGAWTTAACTKATATGAAATAAACAATTTCCTGTAAAAGCCCCCAATAAATACCAGCCATTGCATTTATTTTAAATTAATTTTGAATCGGCTAGAAATTATTTATTGTATGTGAATACGGAATGTCGCTTTAAATATTCATGAAAGTTCTGCAATTTACGACCAAAGCTTTGCACGTTCTAAAATAACAATTCTTGAACTGATTTATTAAGAATTTTTGTACATTTCTGTTACAATCATAGTTTGAACAGTGCTATTTGAACAAGTTTTCATCTATTTATTGTTCAATTAATTGGATTTTCTATGAAACTCTAGCTTTATTGATAAATACAAATATTAACAAAAGCACTGTAATGTGCACGTAATCGTGATGAAAATATAATTGGAACAAGTGAATTGTTTAATGCAGCATAATGCATGCACTCCATAATATTAATTAACATACTTACTAACTTGAGATTAATGTTAGTGTTTGCTTAACTTGAATGTACTTTGTGCTTTAACATATATGGTAGTAATCATGTTTCATCTGAGTGCTTCAAAGTTAAATAGCATTTCAATTTCTCCCTTTCAATTCAATATTTCGCGTTTGCTACTATATTGCGAACTGAATAGTAAAAAGTTTTACCGAAATGAATCTATCGCTGGTTTTCTATTATGAAAAGATAATCGTTATAAACAAATGGTCCAAAAACATATTTCCGCTATCATGATATTTCGTTTGCGGGCAGCTTATAAGAAACTTGTGAGGTTTCTTTTTACATAATTTGGGCGTAGTTCTAAGAAATATTTCGCGGAACATACTTTGATGATTATGTTGAACAATGTTCCGTAGATTACATTA